ATTTCAAGGACTACAATTGATATAAGACAAAAAACTGAATCTAACATAAACATATGTATATGTAGTTCATTTTCATATGATTACAATGAAAGAAGAAATAAGATTCTTGTTAGGTCTTTAAGCATACTTTCAACAGAATATCAATTTGAAATAACTATTAAACTAAAAATGTGTCATCATGCCACGGATGCCCCCGCATGCAGCCAAAATTTCAAATGTTATAATATTTAGTTCCAAATTTGTTTGCACAAATTATTTTTTTCATTCTAAGTTCAAAACCCTTAAAACTTTTCAATGTTAACACAAACCATTTTTATACAATGTTCAAGGCACTGAAATTATTCAGTCTTAACCTTTTAAAAATAGCATATTGCATATTTGTAGCCAACATAATGGCTATATACATTTCCACAAAAGTATGAGTGCTGAAACTGAAAGTTCAAAATTTTTCCAACATTCAGAAAAGATAAGTTTGTCTAAAATCATTGACCAAATTCAAACTTAAACTGCTTATTCCTAAGATGTATCTATATTATTTTCAAAGTGAAAGGGACATAACTCTGCCAAAAAATCATCGAACCATGACCAAATTCCAACTTGACCTGCGCATTCCTTTGACATATCCATATGTCAATTTTGAGTTGAATATGTAACACTGTTGGGTTGATAATGAACAGAAACTGTAAATTTCATATCATTTTCAAAGTGAAAGGGGCATTACTCTGCCAAAAATCATTGAACCATGACCAGATTCGAACTTGGTCTGCGCATTCCAAAAACATATCCATATGTCAAATTTGAGTTGAATGTGTAATATTGTTGGGGAGATAATAAACGGAAACTGAAAATTTCATATTATTTTTAAAGTGAAAGGGGCATAACTCTGCCAAAAATCATCGAACCATGACCAAATTTAAAATTGACCTGCACATTCCTTTGACGTATCAATATGTCAAATTTGAGTTGAATGTTTAATACTGTTGGGGAGATAATAAACAGAAACTGAAAATTTCATATTATTTTCAAAGTAAAAGGGGCATAACTCTGCCAAAAATCATCAAACTATGACCAAATTTGAACTTGACCTGCGCATTCCTTTGACGTATCGATATGTCAAGTTTGAGCTAAATGTATTGTACGATTGGGGAGATAATGAACAGAAACTGAAAATTTCATATTATTTTCAAAGTGAAAGGGGCATAACTCTGCCAAAAATCATTGAACCATGACCAAATTTGAACTTGACCTGCGCATTCCTTTGACGTATACATATGTCAAGTTTGAGTTGAATATGTTGTACCATTGGGGAGTTAATGAATGGAAACTGAAAATTTCATATTATTTTCAAAGTAAAAGGGGCATACAGTAACTCTGCCAAAAATCATCGAACCATGACCAAATTTGAACTTGACCTGTATTTTCTCATGACATATCAATATGTCAAGTTTGAGTTGAAGTTGAATGTGTTGTACCGTTGGGGAGATAATGAACGGAAACTGAAAATTTCATATTATTTTCAAAGTAAAAGGGGCATAACTCTGCCAAAAATCATCGAACCATGACCAATTTCGAACTTGACCTGTATTTTCTCATGACATATCCATATGTCAATTTTGAATTGAATGTTTTGAACCGTTTGGGAGATAATGAACGGAAACTGAAAATTTCATATTATTTTCAATGCAAAAGGGGCATAACTCTGCCAAAAATCATCGAACCATGACCAATTTCGAACTTGACCTGTATTTTCTCATGACATATCCATATGTCAAATTTGAGTTCAATATGTGCAAGGGTTATTAAGATAATGAACGGAAACTGATGAGGACGGAAGGACGGAATGACGGAATGACGGAACAGGGTAACACTATATGCCCCTGCCATTATATGGCGGGGGCATAAAAAAATCAATTTAAAAACAAACTAAGGGAGACAACTTGCACAGTTTAACAATTGCACTGATACATATATACGATAAAAACAAAAATAAAAATCTCCTGTACAGCAATCATACATTAACAATAAAAGGCATCGTCAATGTACATATAGTATCTATATCTGTAAGTATATAAATTATAATATCTGATAAATAAAACAGTATAGCAGTAACTGCCACCTTCATCATGTACAATCCGTGTCTGCTGCAAAACATTTATATCACAATCAATTCATTGATAACTGCATTAACTCCTATTATGTTCTCATCAGCTCCATTCTAATATTAGGTTTTTATTATGTTCTGTTCAATCCCATTCAGTTAAGTTTTTTTATCATGTTCTGATCCCATTGGTAAATTTTTTTATCAAACACTCCGTAAAAATGGTATTGCACAGCCGTGCATATATTTTGACAGGACGTCATTAGCGTTATACAAACATAGTGTAAAGACGCGCTAAATGTTAGCCTTATACTACAGGCGCGTCAATGAAAAATGACTCTTTTTTTCACTTTAAACAGTCTTTATTATGGGTGTGTGATAAATAGAATATTAAATTCGTGCAAGTTCATTACTGAATTTATTGAACTCTTTGAATAAAATAATATTACGCTCGCTAGAGGCTCGCAAAATATCATTTTATTCAACTCGTGCAATAAATTCAGTATTGAATTTACACTCATTCAATATCCTCTGTTTATCATGTTCTGATCCCATTGGTTAGATTTTCATTATGCTCAATTCTGATCCCATTGGTTAGATTTTTATTATTACGTTCTGATACCATTGGTTAAATTCATATTGTGTTCTGATCCCATACGTTAGATTTCTATTATGTTCAGTTCTGCTCTAATCCCATTGGTCTTTAACTACTGTATATGATCGAGTATTGACATATGAATTCACCTCATGTATTCTAATTAGCCAATGCTTTTGGTTCTCATTCTATTCTCTACCAAGTACTGACCAATACCAATCAAAAACAAGTCATTATTTCTCACAAAGATGCCAATAAAAATACATCATTACATATCAACATTTCAAAAGTTTGCCTATGCCTTGATGACATGTACTGACAATAGCACTCTATAGGAGTCTAACAGTATAACCAGTCAATTGGTGTTATATTTTGTGTATTTTACTTTAGCAATGATTCTGAAGAAGTTCTTACAGCTTCTAAATTTATTTTATTTAGTTAACATTGTCTAAGATTCTTCAACACTCATTCAAAACAACTAATCACGATTTATTGGTATCATATCAATATGGTTCTGTTAATTGTTACCCTGCTGGAACCTAGAGTGATCAGACTTTGTTACAAGTTTTAGAGTCTGGCCAACTTTCATATCCATGCAGTTGATTTTATACAAATTCAGCAGGTTACAGTTTTAAAGCTGACCCATCAGACAAGACCAGTTGGGTTTAAGCTTCACTTTGTGCACTAACTGGACTAGGTTTGAAGTAGTTGGCTGGGTAGAGACCAGTTGTGTCGTCTGCTAGCATTCCTACATACCATCCTGGGCGGTCGCACTGGAAAAATATTTCGTTATTATATATAGTTATATAAGCATCAAATGAAACTCATCGAATTTTTCAAAATGACAAGGCCTGTTTTTGGACAGTGCCCTACACTTTCCTCAGTGCTGGATAGCTAAATAAAAGGAACAACTTTCCAAACTATAATTTTAGGATTATATCATACATCCCATAACACCCTAGACGTCCGGTATTGTCACGGAAATCAGCCTGCCATCCCAGAGAAGATTTTTCCTGGTAAAAATAGAAATCTGGAACTTTTGATTGATATGTAACTTTTGTAATGAATTGCTTCACTCAAAACTATGGACAATTCTATTCCAAAAGATAATTACAGAGTCCATTTCATTGGCATGGATCATTAAAAAGTACATTTTCATTGGAAAAGAGGCACATACATTCAACTCGAGGGTAAGAGATATAGGCTTAACTGCAATACATGCATTTGACAAGAATAAAATTACTCTAAGAACACTATTTTTTTACAAGTTATAAGAAAATTTATCAATATGAAATTGCCCCTTACATCACTCAGCTCTTTTTTAAAAGTTCCCTCAGAGAAGGTCAATTCACCATCTATCTGAGCTGTGTATCCCCTTACTGCCTGATACAATGTTCTCTTTATTTCTTTAGAAGCATAAGTTCATCATGTACTTGTACTCAGAAGTGTTTTTTTTAAATTTAATTAAATACAATGAATAATATATTTTAAAATAAAATATTCACAGACTGGACTAAACTCTATACAGGGTCAAAACTACTTTGGACATGCCACTCATATTATGATAACTATCCAAATAAATAACAAATGCAATGTCGACCTATGAAAAACTTGGATCCAATTCAAGAAATGTATTTCATTAAACAAAAGAGTCTTTATTCTAACAAAATATAGCCATAGACCTTCATGACCCAATTCATAGGATGGTAACGAAAAAAGAAAACCTCCAATGCAAAAGCCTGAAAATTCACAAATCATGGTGTTGGAGATAAAAATTGTGCCGTAATGACAATTATAGACAAACAAAAAGAAAATTAATATTAGGAACTACCGAAAGTACTCAACCTTTATATTAAATATTTTTTCCATGTTACTTGTAGTAAATTTTGCAAGACAAAAGGAAACAAGAAAAGCTGGATAAAAACATACTGCATGAACAGGGAAACAGACCCCAATTTCTGTGCTTAAAATAACCCCAGGGTGTCCTTGTTGTATTTATATAAAACATCACAAATGTGGTATGTATTTACCCTTGGTTAGTTTGCGATGTCTTTGGGGATGTTGCTGGTCTGGCCTGTTTTGCAACTAGAATTCTGCTTTTTGGTTTGGTCCCTGGAGTTGTTTGGGAAACCCCATTTGGTGAGCCATTTCTTGTTTCTTTAACTTCATGAATGACAGGAAGTAGGCTTTTTCCATGTTTTGGGGGTTTACTATTCTGACTTTTCTGTTTCTGAATCCAGAGGTTTGGAAGGCCTGTCAGGCTTTGGACTTAGGCTATCATTTTCATCATGTTTTGAACTCACAAAATCTCACCTTTTTAACGTATGTAGCTGGTACCCATCCTTCGAGCTTCGTGCTGTCATTTATACCTCTCATCCAACCATCTTTATCGCCACACTCTTTACACAGGATTATGTCCCCTTTGTATATACATGTAGTAAGCTCTGTATCTACACGGGCTACAAATGGGTACAGAGCAACATATTGTGTGTCTTCATCTAAAATTACAATAAAATTTATGTTATAGACATGTAATATTCCTGAACATGGTTTCAATATGAGTAACTTTAACACAAAAAATATCTATTAACACATTCCTAACATTTTAACAATACATTCCATCAATTCCAAACTTGCAAATAATTGTTATTGTAAGGGAATTCAGATTTGAAAAAAGGTAAAATTGACCTTCTAACAGTATGTGCAGACTGGCCTGACTTAAGACATACCAAAATCATTTTATTATTACTTACATACAAAAAAGCAAATAAAAACTTTCAAAGTTAGTCACAAAGAGAAAACAATATTTGTATTTTAAATGTTTCATGGAAGTCATTTAACTTGGATAATTAAATATGTTCTACCAACATTCAGAAGGACTGGTCAGTCATACATGTATACACAATATTTCAATCATTCAAAGCAACAGAAGACAATATTTCATTCCAGGAAAGTACTTACATAATGAAGTATCTTTAATCGAGGATATAATATCTGACTTTGTAGGTGTGGTACTATTGCTCCTGTCTACACCAGACTTTCTCTTGTCCTGAAATGATAACAGTTTACGCATGAATGAACAAATTTCGGATGTTTCCATAATTACACATTTAGTTAAGGTCTGTTATTTTATAAATTTGCCATATAAAAATTTAAAACATATAATAACTGCTGTACTAAGACCATAATTTGATATTTCCAGCACTTGGAAAGGTCTACTTTCAATGGTATTTTTTTCCTTTTTGTTTTGCTTTTCACCTTGCACACATTATTAATGTTATTTTGCAAATTTATGTTTGATTGGTTGTTGTCCTTTTTTGTAGGGTTTTTATATTGTACCAACACAGTATATGTCATATGGCAACTTTCCAGCTTTACTGGTGCAGAAGACCTCAGGTGCCCCTCCATTCATTATTTCAGGCACAAATTGGCACCTGAGTAGAACCGCCGACATCACATTAGCTAGCTTTTTAACTTCCTCACATGAAAGAATCCAAAGTCCCTATTGGAATTCCAACCCACACCGGTGAGGGGTCAGTGGCTTGACACCAATAACCTCAACCACTCTGCAATGGATGTGCCCTCAATGGTAAATCTTCCTATCCCTTAACCTGCTGGAAGTGATAAGTGTTATCACCAGCCTGCACATCTGCAGTCCAACAAGCCTCTATGCTGTTGGTAGTTCAATTTTTGTATCTTTATATAGAAATCCCATATAACTTGAATTGGACTCTTCCAAAATCAAAGCTATGCAAATTTGTGTAACAAATTCAGCAGGCTAAGGGTGAGACATGCACACATTGTAAAATCTAGACACTTATCTCAGTTGCTAAACTAAATTAAATTAAATTTTCCCATACAAAGTAATGTTACACATTAAACTTATAACCCTTATAAACAAGTTACGTATGTGACAAGTATAGAGCCAAACCAGCATGCATGTCTGTGCAGTCTGATCAGTAAGCTGATTTAAGTCGCCGGTAGAAACCGGTGACTATATTTGTAACAGTTATATATTATATCTATGGTAGGAGAAGGCCTTAAAATCTGAATATAAAAGCAAATCAATCATTGAACAAAATTTAGGACCACAATATCTTTTCATAATCTTAAAAATTCAAACATATAATAACATTGCTTAATGAAAAGAAACATACAAATATTGACATCTTAAAAAGCAACATTAAAATTTTTATAAAATGAATTAATAATGTATCCCTACAGATAACTCATTGAATTTAGGGATACTTTTACTTTTTTAAGTGTAAAGCATTGCTATTTTATGGTAATTAAATCATGAATGATATTTGAAATGATTCTTTTAAATTATTTGGGTGTTTATATCTTATGAGACCAATTCTATTTAATTTGATCATAAACAATCTCCCTGTTCTTTTGTAACTTAGAATCACGCGACTACACGTTGTATGTTATTTTTATAAAATCTATTAATAGTGACAAATTGCTGATAAGACAATACGGGTAACTTGTGAATCGTTGGCAAAAGGTATGGCCTCTGATTAAATGCAAATTATAGCAATTTTGTATGAATAATTACAAAGTTATTTTTCATTAATCAGTTTCATATTTTATATCATTAGAAAGTCTGTATACTCAAATTGTAAATGTTAAAAAATAAATTTTCAAAACCTTTTCATTTTTTCTTGGTAAAGGGTTAAACTTGGCCCTTTCTGTCAAATTTCTGACAAGAACGTTATAGTTTAATTTAGGTTGAACATCACAAAATAAATTTATGCTAAAGAGGCACTTTTATTGCAACAAGAGGGCCATGATGGCCCTGAAATGGCTCACCTGTATGTAGGCTCCCGGGCAGGGCCAATTTAAACCCAGGGACTTTTATTTGAACAAACTTGGTAGACACCCATTTGGAGATGTTTCATGATAAATGTCTAAGCTCTAGCTCTAAAAAGATTTTTTAAGTTATTACTATACACTTATAGGGAAAAACAGTGACCCCCCCCCCTCTGGCCGGGGCCAATTTTGTCTCCAGGGCTTTTATTTGAGCAAAATTGGTAGACACTCACCGGAAGATAATTCATGCTTAATAACTAAACTGTAGCTCTTTGGGTTTTTTTAACCGAAGATTTTTTAAGTTTTTACCATATGAATATAAGGAAAATCAATGATCCCCCGGTGGGGCCAATTTTATTCCCAGGGCCCTCATTTGAACGAAATGGTTGACACCCATTAGAGGATGTTTCATGCTAAGCCTAAATATCTTAGCTCTAAGCTCTAAAGGTTTTTTAAAAGAAGATTTTTTAAGCTTTTACTATAAACATTTAGGGAAAAACAATGACCCCCTGGGGCGAGGCCAATTTTGACCCCAGGGCTTTTATTTGAACAAACTTGGTAGACACACATTAGAAGATGTTTCATGCTTAATAGCTAAGCTCTAGCTATTTGGGTTTTTTAAAGAAATTTTTTAAGTTTTTACTACATACTAATAAGGATATCCAATGACTCCCCCCGTCCCCCCCGGGCAGGGCAAATTTTGACTCCAGGGCATTTATTTGAACCCTGACTAGATGTTGTTTCATGCCAAATATTCAAGCGCTAACTCTTTCGGTTTTCTAAAAGAAGATATTTTTAGTTTTTTTCTTTCGGTTGCCATTACAACCAGAGTTCTGCTTTGAATTAAATTCTTTGAACAATTTTGAAAGTTGACAACCAAAGGATCATTCCTATGAAGTTTATCGGACGGACAGACGACAAGCGATCACAAAAGCTCACCATGTCATTTTGTGACAGGTGAGCTAAAAAAGGTCAGAAGAAGGGCGGGGCTCTGCTGAGCCCTTCATTTTTTCATGCCAAGCCTGATAAATTTTATAATACAATACTCTTGTTTGGTATTCTTCTAATCATGTTTCCAATTTTAGTATGCGTTTGTTTCTTTAAATGTCAAATTATTCAAAAACCTGTCAGGAACCTTTCGAGTTCATGCCCTGCGCAGTAATATGTCAAGGGTCATATCTTTAAGAAATGGTCCCAAAATTTCAAACCAGTTGGAGGTAAAAATAAGCCATTCTCTTTATTTTATTTCAATATGTATTAATGAGGTAAAGCTAAATGTATCAGGCAAGCACTTTATCAACAGAAATCAATGTAACGACATGATAAATTACTTCCTTTGTTCACTTCACAATATTTTACTTTTAAATACATTTTTCAAATTGTTATGTAAATACACATGGATCTTAAGGTATGTTGCTTTAAAGATATCATTACATTATGTTTAGTGATGAAATTTTAAAGAAATTATGACATTACATTTAATGATTTCTTTCTCTCAATATTTGATGGGGCCATTCAATATGCAATTTTACTTTTTCTGAAATAAGCCCATTTAGTCAGAATCACTCAATTTTTATCATCATCCATTTTCCGCTACTTTCAACAAATTAAGATGTCATATTCTCAAAGCCACTTGTGACCAAAACTGCCTTTTTCAATAAATAAGTTTAACAGCGATAATTATTATGAAACAAGACGTTTCAGTTTCGGTTTATTTTTTCCAATTAATTTTATATAAAGCAGGACGGGATTTCAACAACTTAAAGTGTCTTACACACACACATCCACTAAACAGAGCAATTGTCTCGTAATTATATTCTCTTATTATTTATTGTCCGTTACATTTAAACAAGTGTATGATTCACATGTAATATCTTCCATATTCTACTTACATTAAAGTGTTTATTCTGATTTAAAGAATGTATATCAGCCCCTGCATATTACTATATTCATGTATATGGATAAAGAGATTATACTTGGAAAACATCTTGACACTGGAAATAAAATAACAAGCAAAATAATGATGTGTGTGATGATTGTTTGAAGTAAGTAAGCCCTGAAAGTGTTCCCTGTTGCAAGGAGAATAAATCAAGTGTTGTTTGAATAGATAAAATTTAATTTGTCAACTCATATTTTCCTTAAAATTATCTTTCTTATGGTACTTAAAATAAGATTGAGGGAGTGTCCGTCAGTGGTTGAAGGTTACTCGAACAAGTTTCATGGCGTCCGCGCCGAAGCGCGGCGCCCTTTATGAAATGAAATCAGATTTTGTGAAAGGGGGACAGCAACTTCTCGAGCATTTAAGTCATAATAAAAGCCGATCATTCCGATCGGTATGAGGGTGCTTGATTATTATTAATTAAAAATGAAATGTCGCGATTTGTACAATGAATAGCGAACTGGAGAATTTCGCAATTCAAACATTTTCAAATGAAATAACCTTTTCCGTCTCTTCGGTTTTATCTTATTATTCATTTTGTAGTACACAGTGGGTTATTATGGTATGTTAAAATAGAATGATGAGTTGATGGTATTAATATGACACTATCAACTTTGAAACATTTTATTTAATTTGTTATTCGTGTTTAGTAAAGATGCCGAGGAATTATTCAAAGTTACAAATTAGATTTTATGAATTATTTAATTGATTAATTGATTAATAATTTAAAAAATGATAAAGAAAATACAAATGTACTTGTACATGGTTTAAGAATAAACAATATTATATATTGAAAGATTTACCATAATTTACTGACTTTTTCCAGTTAAGTTTTGACTTATAATCGTCGGTCAATATGACAATTGAATTCTTAAAATTTATTTTACAATTTTAATAAAAAAAAGAGTAGTAAACGTAAAAAACTCATTATATATAGCACATAAAACACAAAAAGAGAGGAAAACAATATTCATAAAATCTGTATTTTTTTATATTAAAATAGATATTACAATTATTGTATAATAAACAATTATGATCAACATGGTAATATAACCAGTGTCATATTTTTACTAAGTGTGAACAGATACCATAAGAGGGGGTCTTCGCTTATAGCGATAACATAATAAGGGACAATTACACAAGTGTGGTGTTGATCATGCGTTACACATATGATTGTATACATGTATATCCGTTGCTATTAATAATCACGATCATAAAGAAATAACAAGTAATATTCTAATCTCTAGCATGCCAATCAAAGTTCATATATAATGAACAATGTCTTTCGTCCGTTCATT